TTAGGGTAAGGATTTTAGAAAAAAGTATCGTCTTATAGTTGGAAAAATACGGTATATTTAGTTTGAAATGTAGCAGCCCAAGCACATACTGGAACATTTTATTTTGCCTGGATAACACCATCAGCTGGCTTTTAAATGAAATTCAAGGTATGAGTTGCGACATTTAAAGATCTACAAGGCTCAGGACCTGGTGTACTCCTACTCTCAATAATTTCTGCCCATCCAATGATCTCTGCTGATTCTAAAGTTTGGTTCCCTACTCTAAAAGGGTTAGAGGCTTAGATGGTCAGAGTTGCCATCAGGGTCATGTTTCCGTTGTTCTTCCCTTCTTTGGAGTAGCATTTCTCCACCCCCCACCCCCGCCCCCCAGATTAGATCAGCACCAATCCTGATGATGTTTAGGGAAGCATCAAGACCTGGCTATTTCAGGAAGTTTTGGGGGATTGATTTGAGTTGTTACATCTTCTCTGCAGTAAGTGATTGATCACATGATAATTTCGATATGCTATTCCTCAGCATAGTATGACTTTATGTTATTACAGTATTTGTTATTGTATTATTTTAATCTGTTTACCAAAGTGGAGTATATACTGCTTGGAATTGATTGTGATTAAAGTGACATATCAGCCTGAGTAATCAATCAATCAATCAATTAAATTCTGCATAGAACAGGGGTTTGGAGATGAAACCTTGAGTGAATCCTTCCATTTCGTGAATATATAAGTCTGATGACTGGAGAAGAACCTTGCATTTCGGCAGGGGTTTGTAGGCATGATTTTCATGATTTCTGTAATCATGAAAACCCCAAGACAAGATTGGCTCCTGTTGTCAGCAAGAGAAAAAGATTAGAGTTCCATATAATGAAAGCTGCACTCACAGGCACCAAAAAATAACACACCAACCTTTGCTGTCCTCATAGCAATGCTCCACTAAGGCATGTCAGACTAAATGAAATGTTAATTCTTAAAGTCAGAACTATTCTCATCTTTCTCTATCAGATGCAATTCTTGCTGTATGGATTATGCAGCTTTTTTTTTTAAATTTATTTTTGCTCAGTGCTGTATGTTTATATAATCAAGGCAAGTCAGTCCAGACAAGAACTTACTTACACAAGGACAGGGAACAGCAAGAAAGGTCTGGATACATAAATGAATCCTTCAGAGCAATTCTACAGAGGTCTGCTTCAAATGGGGGCTTGCAGATTCTTACATGATTCATTTGTCTAGATTCTGGGGGACAGTAAAATAGAATGCTTTGAAAAATTTATACTTAAAAATATAATTTAGTTAGAAAATTCTCAATGAATTTTGTTGCAATTATTTCTGACATTTAGGGTTAACTGAGGCCTTCTTAAATGTGTGCATTCCATACAAATTGACCTGGCTAATACATAGATGATAATAAAATGATCATTTAGATGTTATATTTCTCCTCTTTTTCTGATGTGGTTCTCATCTTAAAAAATAAGCATAATGCATAATCTGGAGATAATGGTCTTATGAATAAATATTTGTATAAAATTGTCAAAGACCAGAAACAGACTGTTATGCCACTGTCACTTGCATATAAGTTATATATATTCTTATTTAATAACAAATTGTTACAATCCTTCTTGAGGAAACATTAATTCATATAGTTGGAGCCTGCTTTTTTTTTTTGGCCTTGATACAATTCCCCAACTATTACTGCCTAGTTTTTCTGCATATCTTTTTTAAGGCTATATCCTCATTAAATGGAATTTATCAACTTACCAAGAATTATGGACACTTTACATGTGGAGATAGTTAAGATAATTATTACAGACTGGAAGATAAATCTACAACTGATCTGTAGCAGTGCGTTTAAAAAAAAATTCTAATGTTTGAATATTCATTTCAGTTCATTTTTTATAAGAAGCAATGAAGAGGAATTTCAAGAAATTCCAATTTTTTTTCCTTATGATTTTGTATCTTATCTACATATGTGTTCCTGGAAATTTCTCTGTTAATTTAGAACATGTTCTTGTAGTATCTGAAATGTATTGAAATTAATCTTTGTACTACATTTATTGTTTTTAAGAGATTAGTGAAGAAAAAATATTAAAGATACATGTGTGAACTGCTCTTTGAAAATGATATTCCTATCAAGAACATCATTATTATTATTATTATTATTATTATTATTATTGCTTCCTTTATTTAATTTATGTAAGCCATCTTTTTAACAAATAGTCCAAGGAAGTACATTTTTATCTAGAAATATCTAGAGGAAATTCCTCTTCCTTTCTTGACTACTATTAAGCAATTAACGGGCACTAATTTTAACCACAGTTACTACTATCAGTTTGAAAGAGTGGGAACTTTGAAGTGGACTTTAAATCTTACATGGAAAACCCCCTTGGCTTTTTGTTAGAGATAAAGGATATTAATATGTAAATGAAGTAAGATCTTAAAAACAAAAGCAGATGGAAGTATTTGGATCAGCTAACAGTCTCTCCCTACTCCTGATTTACAGTGCTGTCCACCCATTCTTGAGTTGACAGAGAATTAAACTGGCATGAAATTGGCTGACCCCATGGCCAATCTGTATAGTGTCAGATTCAGCCGGCACGGCACAGCGAAGGCACCGCTCAGCTTCGCCTAAGTCGATTTCACCGCCCAGGCGCGAGCAGAGAAAAAGGGGAAGTGAAACCGCAAGCGGACGCTTTGCTGATTGGCAACAGGTGGCGGCGCTTAACTCAAAACCGCAAGCGGATACTCTGTATCAGCGCGGTTTCCCTCGGGCGCTGCAAACAAAGGAAAGCGCAGAAGCTCGGAAGCGAAGCGAACAATATTGTCAACGAACAATAGAGAACTCCTGGCTTTGCACACAAACAGGCAAATGCAACAAAGGCAACAACAGCACAACCCATAGACTGCAATCAGAAAAACAAAAGCACCAGACTGAATCTGCCATTTGGGCAAGGGGGGGGGATTACTGCGGGTAATCAGTAACCAAGCAACGTGGCAAAGTGCGGGGATGGGGTAGCTATAAAATACGTGGTAAGATGTGCCAAGCCAACCCTGGCTTTGTCTGTACTTACTTACGTTATGCTTGAGTAAACCTCTTGTTGAACACACGTGTCACAAGAGTTTCTCTGAGACTAACAGGGTAAACCTTACATATAGTATTTTGTCTCTCTTGCCTCTGTGCTCAAGTTACCTGACATTCCTCCAAGGTAATGGCACCTAACAAATTTTATACTCTTTGAAGCTGCCCCTGGAGATGGTCAGAATCACAGGGGAAATACCAGTTTAACAGTGGTACAGCTAAGGCTGGCTAAGGCTGTTGCACTCATGGGCTGGGGACACGATGAAGGAAAATGGCAGAAAATTGTCACAGGGCATGTTTATGTCATGGTTAGGTGAAAACAGGGAAAGGCCCTTGTCACAATGAAAATTAACACATAAATGCTATACAAACACATAAAAATAACTAAAGTAGAATTGTTAGAAGAAGAAGAAATTCATTACAGATATAAACCAAGATTAGTACGTTAATGAAATCATAGTACTGATCACAAAGCCCATACTTACAGTCTGTACTACTGTTTTTTGGAACCACAGAGAAATTGGAAGCCAAAGGGTTACGGACAATATCTTCCCACTGAATAGTATCTGCATAGCACAGAAATCTGTTCTGGCCAACATATACTCCTCCATTTAAGATTTCTGTATCAAAAAGAAGGAGGGAAGGAAAACATATATTAAAGCCTTTTGGTGAAAGAAAAGTAAAATGACATGATTTTGTAAAAAATCAGCAGAAAGCACGGAAAAGTCCTTAACAATTTACAAGAAGTAATTCACCTAAGGAATCAAGTCTTCATAGAACTAAACATGCTCCAACGGCTTTTTCCTCCTCCTCCTCCTCCTCCTTCTTTTTCCAGTACTCTGATTAAGGCAGCATTACCTGGTTCAATTCCCCACTATACAGTTATTAGAAGACCAGATCCACCTCCAAGAACTGAACCTGGGGTCCTTATGGAGAAGCATCAAAGCTTGAGATGATGTCAAACAAGAAGACACATTTTGGACAATAATTTGATCTAACCAAGCAGTATAGAACACAGGTGGTGTGATGTGGAAGAAAGCCACCTCTTAAGCACAGAATCAGTGGAATGGAATGTGACAACAGTGCATTCAGTGGTTTCATCTCTCACCTACTGTGAGAGTGCCAGATTTATATGTGGAATACCACATCTCCTTCAACTATACCTGAGGCTTAAGAGCAAAAGGTAAATATCTCAGTTAAGGATTGCATCATCAGACAACACGCATTATCTTGAATTAACCAGTAAAAATCCCTTTTATAAACTGTTGGATTAGAATTGGAGGACTTCTGTTAAAGTCACAAAATTCCTCCAAGGAAAGTGTGACAAAGCTAAAACCTAAACAGACAAGAAGGCCCCATCAAGCTTGGAGGGACTTATTTTTAAATGAGCATACCTACAGTTGTGCTGCATATATCAAATAGTAATGAAGCAAAAATGCACATTTCTAAGCTGACGAACTGGAAGCAAATGCCTACCCCATAAATACACAAAGCAACTACATGTTCCCTTTCTCCCAAGTGTTTCTTCAAGAGGGATTTACTTTCTAGATGGCTTCTCAACCGGTCTGAGACTATAGGGATGAATACATGAAAACAAACTCAATTTTGCTATGCATAAACAAAATGATGTGCCCAAACATTATAATTATAAACCAGGAATATTAAGAATTTTTTTAAAAATCATTTTTGAATGCTTACTGAAAAAGCTCTTAATTATTAATCCAATTCCCCACAAACCAGTGTTATTTACCCATCGCTATATCTAACTAAAGTTGGCTCCTACACGATAGAATTACTATTAATAAGACACAGTTTCTGTCGGGTTACATGTAATAGAATTATATTTTGCTTCAGTGGTTCTACAGTCTTTTGAGAAGGAAGTAGGACTGTAGCTAGAGCTGCAGTTTGTTGATCCCATCTATTGCAGCCTCTTGGCTTTGCCTATCCTTAATCATCCTGGGCTGCATCAGCTCCAGGGGATCCCAGTCGCCACTGTGAATAGCACATAGCACAGAACTCTCTCAGGTTCAAGCCTTGACATCTCCATTTTTAAAATGGCTGGTGATAGATGGGGGAAAAGGCTAGATGGCAGGCGCCTGCAACCTTCATAAATGATTGGAAAGAACTGTTTTGGACTTTGCATGAGTGCAGCTCCTCTGTGCTACCCATTAAAACAGCTCAACTTTGCTTTGAGGGGGGAGGAAGACAGTGCTGCTGCTTAAAGTAGCAGCTTCTTTTCTTTTTTATTTTTAATGTACAGCGGAAGCGGCAGGTTCTAGCACTTGATCTGGAGTCTTTCTTCCAAAATATTTTCAAAACAGGCTTTTATTGTTCAACTGCAAAGGAGCAGAAATATGCACACTTTTTTTTCTATACTGGTTAGGAAGTTGTGCTGTACTCCTTCAAGATTTTAACTTTCTAGAGACAAAAGATTTTTTTTAAAAAAAGAAAACTGTAATTTACAGATAATGTGATGGGGCAGGTTAATATCTAAATGCCTGTAATTTTGAGTCAGATGTTCATCCCTAATTTGAAGCAATACTTTGTCCCTCTGCATTAGAAAAGTAACTTTTTCACTCATTGAATAATCTAAATCAGATCCTTCAATAAAGTACAGACTGAAATGTTATTTAAGTAGCCTTTTCAGAAAGCCAAAATGGCAAATGGATTTCAGTTCAACACCTTGAATGCAGCCCAGAGCAAAAAAACCCCCCAAGCAATAATGGAAGAGAACCCTATGATGCGCATATGAAAGGCACATAAACACTCATATGGGTGGCGCTTTGATCTAGGAGAGATCTTTCAAAAAGAAACCTGCTGCTAACAATTCATTTCCAAGGAAGCTAATTATTTCCAAGCCTGTTCCAACTCGAGCAAAGAGGAATTCACCCATCACTTGCTTTGATATTAGAGCTGTATCGTGAGAAGCGGCTCTGAGGATACTACGCAGCAAGAAGCATCTCTTGCCAGCAAACGGCCACAGGGAATTTCGGCAGGACTACTTATTAAAGAAAACAGTTCTGAAAACACTGGCCTACCACTGGAATTAAGTGTAGGAAATTTAATAGTGAAATTCACATTCCCATTTGCTGCCCTTTAGCACTCTCTGATGCCATCAGTAATTCCTACATCTTCAAATTTTAAAAAATGTAGCTGTGGTAGCTCTTTCTAGCAGACTTAATGAAGCCTTCTAGCACCGTAAAGCCTGTCTACCTGTGGGCAGGTACAGCATCTGCACAGCAGTTAGCAGATAACACAGCCTTATATTACCAAATAGTGAGGTGTCCGTGCCCTTTGGTAGCCATCTGCTGCTGGCTTCCCCTCCCCACCAAGTATGAAGAAATAAACCAACACATTCTCTTTTATTTCAGGAACCTGTGTTTAGCAGAAAAAGCAAAGGTAAGAAGGTAAGCAAGGGTAGGGCCCAAAAAGACTAAGGTGGAAGGAAAAAACAAAAAAAAGGTTATCACATATCACACTGACTACCAGAGTAGTTGGCATAGGTTTGGTCCTGTTGCAGACAGATATTCCTACACCCTAGATGTAATTGTCCATTAATTCACTGATTTCTTTAGTCCTGATTGACTATACTGTGTTTATAACAAGCTATGCCTGAATCCAATTGTGTAAATCCCCAAATAATTATTGTCAACCTGTATCAATGGCACCATGAGAACAGGAACTACAAACTAGGCTGTTTCTTCATTCACATTGATGGAACTCTACACAAAGTTCCAAATAGATGCACATATCAAGAAGTGATATAGCACCCACTGAGAGGGACAACATCTACCACTGCAACACTGGAATTTTAGGACTAACAAATTAAGTCAATGTGAAGATGGTCAGTCGCCTTTTGGAGATAGGACAGGCTCCTCTGTTAAAAGTTGGCCCAGTTTATGTAGAAATATAGCACCCACTGAGAGGGACAACTGCTGTAACTGCAACACTGGAATTTTAGGACTAACAAATTAAGTCAATGTGAAGATGGTCAGTCGCCTTTTGGAGATAGGACAGGCTCCTCTGTTAAAAGTTGGCCCAGTTTATGTA